GTTATCGCTTTTGTTACCGGTTTTATTATCGATATTTTTATCGATTTTGCTACCGATGTTGTTATCGATATTTATATCGATTTTGTTATCGATTTGTTATCGATGTTGCTATTGATTTTGCTATCGATTTTGTTATCGATATTTTTTTATATTAAGTTTTTTCAATAAATATCTTTTCTGTTCAAAATTTCAAATCTTTAAATCTCAGTAAGCTGTAGAAAAAAACAATGGTATAAAATAAAAATAAAAATAGGGCTTTCGCTTATATTCTCATTGAGTTCTTTTCACTTAGAAGTATGTAAATTTGTAAAATTTTGGAAAAACCCTTTTTTTCTTAGTGTGTGATTTCGTTTTTGACTTGGATATGCTCTTAACCATACCACGTATTCTACGTTTAAATATAGCGGCTGTATCTCCGATACAGCCTGCAGACCAAGACGAAGGCGCTGGACTGTTCCTTTTTTTCAAGTTTATTGTTTTGTTTTAAGTAAAACTGTATTAAAAGATGTTATGTCTCGGTTGGCATAGCTTTAAGTTCACTAAGCTACGGGAACGGTATTGCCATAATACCATGGGACTTCGGTAACCCAAAAGCTCACTTAGAGGGTACAATCTAAAAAGATACAGGTTACAGGAGAAACTAAGGATCATCACAGGCACTTGTACTATGTATTTAGGAATCTGGTCTAGTGACCTATGTCGCTTCTGTGACGCTGCCAAGGAGACTCCATTACACCTCCTTCTGGTGTGTGAGACCGTCGCTCATAGGAGAGAGGAGCATAGGGCATTTAAGACCAAGGGTAGTAGTGCACTTTACGGGAACCAGGGTTATTAGGATTTTTAATTAATTTACGGGTTATTCGCAAAAAACACTTGCACTTTGCACTTTTCGCACCATGTTTTGATGAATTTGATGCAAATAAAAGGAGTAAATCAAAGTTGTTCTCTGGAAAAGGTATTCAGCCCACTTCTTCGGCAACACAGAAAGGAGAATTCTACTACCTGAGGGTTATAATTTGATGTAACTGAGGGTTATAATCCCTAAGTGCGGCCGAAGTCGCCTACGCAAAAAGGAGTGAATTTGATGTAACTAAATGGAGTAAATGAAAGTTGTTCTCTGGAAAAGGTGTTTAGCCCCCTTCTTCGGCAACACAGAAAGGAGAGTTCTACTGCCCGAGGGTTATAATCCCTAAGTGCGGCCGAAGGTCGCCCACGCAAAAAGGAGTTGGACGCCTGGTTCCGTTAAAGTGCACTTTTACCCAAGAAAACAATAATTATTCACTTTCCATACAAAAGTTTCGCATACGTCCTCAGATGTGTTTTCTTTATAAAAAAACACTTCAAGAACTAAACACACGTTTTTTGTCTGCAACATATTGGAGTTTTAAAACGAGTTAAATTATACATAATTTATTTACCGCTTGTACACAATTTTGCAATCTTTCCACTCCAAGAATGAGCACATTTTAGGCTTCCGTGCCAGTATGGTAGTTACTAATTCACGAGTTATCTTCTTCTTCACCTTATCGGGATAAGCCATGTACCACTTTTGCAATCGTAATTTGCCTTGTCGGCTAAATAGCAACATAAACAGCATCTAAAAATATAATTCATTGATAAACTAATAACAATAAGGTGACATAAACAGAATATAAAAATTAATTTCTTTAATATACCGATAACAATGAAAAGGGAGGTGTCTTTGTCTTTTCGGCCATATATTATTTGGGGTGCGAAAACACAACTTACCATACTTAAAAAGTTCACAAATTTTTCGAAATATCAGAGTAAAAATAATTATATTGAGCACGCGATTAATAAAGTTATTTTTCCAATTGATGCCATGGATAACTCGTCTTATTAAATGGAATGTGAAAAATAATTTCGTATAAAAGTGTCATCGATGTTCGATATATCGATATTTCATCAAAAAACGTAGAGTACATCAGGGATGGAATTCCAAATTTTAAGAAGGGCCAAAAGGTGTTCGCACGCATGAACCAATTAGAACAGATCTCACTGGTCGAGAAACAGCCATCTGTAATAGCATTTGAGACAAAAAGTTTGTGACGTTCGTAATTTTGAAGTTTGCCATTTCTGTTTTGCTTCTTTCTTAGGCTTTCTGCACATTGGTCGTCCAACCATAAGCCCTGTTCGCGTCGCACTATCCAGTAAATCCAGTACTAAATCTACTGGTTTTTTACTGGATGGCGTTTTCGTACGCAAAAACTTGCAAGAAACTAGCAAAAGAGGGGAAATTGAGAGAGCAAAAATGACAGCTGAACTTGCAAGTTTTACTAGATAAATTTTTACTAGCAACTATTTGCTAGTAAGAAAAACAGCTGATGGCATGATGCTTATTGTAAATCACATTAAGAAAATAATTGTTTGTGGTGATTTTAGAGTTGCAATTGGCAAAATAAACCTACCTAAATATATAATAAGATGGAAAACACTAGTTTTCTAAGAAAATTGCATCGGAAAATAACAAATTAATCAGCTCTTCATAAAACTAGCAACTTCTAGCTCGTTTTGCGTTTTCGTACTTTCTTGTATATTTCACTCATTGGGAGTAAATATTGGGGGTACTCTTTATGAATTTGTACAACGATTTTGGATTATCTCCGAAATTTGGTTATTGGCAAGTTACTGGATATTTTTTGCAGGAGAATACGAAACACAACTATAGTTACTTCGTCACAATCATGATGCAACGATTACATGACGACTACTTTTTCTCACACTCGGTCGTGATATTTCAATTCATTTGGCGTCTAAAAATGGACTTGGAGCAGGTATTTTCTGTTTTTCTGATTAATATTTTCGCGAAATATTTACAAAAACCTGCAGTTTTTAAAATATGGACTGTGCTGCAACAATTCTAGACATAATTTTTCAGTAATATCTCCTCTTTTTTTCCTGAAATGTATTTTGTGCATGCACACAGAGACTTTTTACAATTTCGTAATATTTCATAGTTAAAACGCTCATATTTATTGAATTTTATTGCAATTATCCAATTTTTAATAATTTCGACAGATTTTATGCCAAAAAGGGTCTTTTATTCAAATATTAACTTTTTCACTAATTTTACCCCATAAAATGTAAACAAACAATGCGTGCACAACGATTAGCAAACGACAGTGCCGTACTTATCCGTTTCTGCATCTTCTACGATTTGCCGATAACTAGCCGATAACGACAAATGTGCAAATCTCCTTTGAAATGCATGTGCTCGGCTCAAAATTTCAGGGAGGNTAGATAAATTTTTACTAGCAACTATTTGCTAGTAAGAAAAACAGCTGATGGCATGATGCTTATTGTAAATCACATTAAGAAAATAATTGTTTGTGGTGATTTTAGAGTTGCAATTGGCAAAATAAACCTACCTAAATATATAATAAGATGGAAAACACTAGTTTTCTAAGAAAATTGCATCGGAAAATAACAAATTAATCAGCTCTTCATAAAACTAGCAACTTCTAGCTCGTTTTGCGTTTTCGTACTTTCTTGTATATTTCACTCATTGGGAGTAAATATTGGGGGTACTCTTTATGAATTTGTACAACGATTTTGGATTATCTCCGAAATTTGGTTATTGGCAAGTTACTGGATATTTTTTGCAGGAGAATACGAAACACAACTATAGTTACTTCGTCACAATCATGATGCAACGATTACATGACGACTACTTTTTCTCACACTCGGTCGTGATATTTCAATTCATTTGGCGTCTAAAAATGGACTTGGAGCAGGTATTTTCTGTTTTTCTGATTAATATTTTCGCGAAATATTTACAAAAACCTGCAGTTTTTAAAATATGGACTGTGCTGCAACAATTCTAGACATAATTTTTCAGTAATATCTCTTCTTTCTTTTCCCGAAATGTATTTTGTGCATGCACACAGAGACTTTTTACAATTTCGTAATATTTCATAGTTAAAACGCTCATATTTATTGAATTTTATTGCAATTATCCAATTTTTAATAATTTCGACAGATTTTATGCCAAAAAGGGTCTTTTATTCAAATATTAACTTTTTCACTAATTTTACCCCATAAAATGTAAACAAACAATGCGTGCACAACGATTAGCAAACGACAGTGCCGTACTTATCCGTTTCTGCATCTTCTACGATTTGCCGATAACTAGCCGATAACGACAAATGTGCAAATCTCCTTTGAAATGCATGTGCTCGGCTCAAAATTTCAGGGAGGGACGATAACGCAACTATGATTGGACGACAAGTGTGCAGATAGCCTTAATGTGTATTTTGTCGGTGGTTTATTTCAGTGATTTTTAAGCGATTTTCAATAACTTTTTTGTGCAAATGTAATTAAAAAGAAGTGCGCGGTGATTGGGAGCAAAAACACGTACAAAAATAATAAATTGGTTAGCACAAACATGTGCTACAACATTGCTTGCATTTTTGGCTTTATGCTTCGTCTTCATATTCTTTGTTTATTTTTCATAGAATATAGCATGGCGGCGGAATTACAAACGTCAGCCAGAAAATTACTTTTTTCTTTTGCTTCATCTTGTCAGATCTTGTATAGTTGAATCACGGCTCTCAATTTCCGTAAGGCCATAACTTAAGAATCTAAAACCTACAGGTTCTTAAGTTTCTTATGGTAGTTTCACAGTTTCTCATATAACAGGTTGGCCAAAATATTGAGCTAAGTTACGGAAATTAAGTCTAGGCTAACGGAGCTTTAACAGAAACAAGCAAGTAAACAGCTGATCTATTTAACTATTGAAAATATTGGCGCAAATTTTTGTTTATCCAGTAAAATTTTTACTAGCAGAAACTAGCAGGAGAGCCAAACAAAATAAGAGCTTAAGAACGAGAGAGAGCTGCTAGTTTCTGCTAGTTTTTTTGGGTTAAGAAACGCTTTCCAGCAGAGATTAGTGATAATTTGTGATACTTATCTGTTAAAAAACAAAGCTTATGTTAGCATTTTTAGGTTTTAGTTGCGACCTTTCAAATACTTCTCCTTTTTTCGAGCTCAAATTCAACTGTGTGCGTACGCAAAGCATTCGTATGACGGATGTGGCATATTACGCATTTAAAATTAGTTTTTATTCTATAATTCTGAAAGATATTTTAATTCTCTATCTATTCATGTCTCAAATATAGCAAAAAGTTGAGTAATAACGAAGATATTGGTCAAAATAAAAAACTGATGCACACGCTCGCATTGAACTGTGTATCAGGCTTAAAGCCGCTTTACTATACATTCGTTCCGATTGTGCTAATGACTTTAGGCCAACATGGTTGCCAGAAATTCGTTTGAATAAAAGTATTGCCGCTATATATAATAAACATTCACCATATTTGTGTCTTTTATTAATTTTGGAAAATTTTCGATAGTGGAAATGCTCGATAGTTTTTCAAAAAAAAAAAAAACAAACATCGATAGTATCAATAGTATCATTTATAGGTTGTCACTTCCCCATGAATCTACGATATCTGTCTTTTGGTGTGGCAAATTAAACGTCAATTGGATCTAGATAATTTTCTCAGATTTTGCTCCATCCTTGATTTTCGATATTGATACCAAGTTAAAATGAAAATTAAACTAACAGCTAACATTAATAATCCACCGATAAGTAAGTGTTATGTATATTTAGCATATTGTGTCTTTGGTAATTTTACTCTTGAAGCGAAATCTGATTAGATTTCTATCTATATATGGCATTGCGTTAGCTTTTCACATCTTGCAGAAATCGGACTAAAATTAGAATTTTTGTAATTAAAGGTGGCTTGGCAACTGCTCATCTTATCAACGAAACCGTACCAATTGAAATAGTGTGGGGCAACGAAACTTCTTTGAAGTTCCCGGACAATCGACACCTTTTTTGTCACTCAAACAATGATGTGCTGCGGGCACTGGCACGTGCTGCACCGGAATATCAACTATATGGAAAAACTGCCATCGAAAGAACACAAATTGACCACTGGTTATCATTTTCACTAACATGCGAAGACGACATCTCCTGGGCGTTTTCATTTCTCGACAAGTCAATTGCACCTGTAACTTATTTGGTAGCTAACAAATTAACTATAGCAGATTTTGCCCTATTTAACGAGATGCATGCACGTTATGAGTTCCTTTCAAAGAAAGGTATTCCACAGCATGTTCAGCGATGGTATGATCTCATAAATGCACAGCCATTTATCCAGAAAGTCTTGCAGACTTTGCCCGAAGAGGCTCGCGCAGCAGCAAAACATACTAAACGCAGCAATGGTGTTAAACTAAGCGATTGCGAAAATTCAGTTCTGCCTGGGTCAACGAAAACGAATGAGCGCAAACAAGAGGGTAAATTCATTGAATTACCTGGTGCAGAGATGGGAAAAGTTGTTGTGCGTTTTCCACCGGAAGCGTCTGGCTATCTGCATATTGGACACGCTAAAGCAGCATTATTAAACCAATACTATGCTTTGAACTTCAACGGAAAACTAATAATGCGATTCGACGATACAAATCCTGCTAAGGAAACGGTTGAGTTTGAAGAAGTCATTTTAGGAGATGTCGAACTATTGCAAATCAAACCGAATCTCTTTACTCATACGTCCAACTACTTTGATTTAATGTTGCAATATTGCGAGCAGATGATTACAGAGGGAAAAGCATATGTAGACGATACACCTGCGGAACAAATGAAACTTGAGCGGGAACAGCGAATTGAATCAACCAATCGTTCAAATGGTACGTTGCATAATGATGTTATTATTGTGAGTTGTCTAGTAATGCCTTTAACAAACAATTTTTTTCGCAGATGTTGAAAAAAATCTATTACTGTGGCAGGAAATGAAAAATGGCACTGAAATTGGACAAAAATGCTGCGTTCGTGCAAAAATTGACATGTCTTCACCAAATGGTTGTATGCGGGATCCAACAATATATAGATGTAAGAACGAACCTCATCCACGCACGGGAACAAAATACAAGTAAATGCCAAATAAGATAGTTGAAAATTATA